ATATTTGCAGATCTGTTGGTTAGAACTTCGGTTTACACAGTGCTCTGCTGATACTGTGCCAGAAGTTTGGGTTCTGAAGTCCAGTCTTTACAACGTTCTTCCCACATATGCCAGAATGAGCTATTATACATCGGGCAATCATGTCATTAGGAGTGTATTCTCTCTCTTTATTTGACAGGAAACTTGAGTCGTTGGGTGCCTGACTCCTCCATGTAACAGGTACTGCATTGAGGGGTGTGTTCCTCCTAGTGCCATGCTTTCTCCAGTTTCTCAGTCCTTTATCAAAGGGTGGTTAAGAATGAACTCATTTTTAGCTAGACCCATTTAACACATAGCCAATGGTAACAAGAGCTATCATTTCCCAAGTGCTTAACATACATCTCTTAAGTAGGTAGCATTATACCTTTTTACAGAATAAGAAACCGAGGCTGAGAAGTTACAGTTTGCTCAAGGTCATGAAGCTAGTAGAAGTCAGCTCCAAGTCACACATCCCATACTGCCTCATTCATAATGTCTATGCTGTTGTCATCATTGTCTCCGGGTTCAAAAGGACTCTCTGGGTTCAAGAGTGCTCAGCTGGTGAATGGAAGACTTAAATCTTAGTTACTTCTGAATAGTTGAGGAGGGTGAGAAGGTGTTCTCAGTGGTAGTATATGATTTTTACTCTTTACTTGTAAAATGAAACACTGTTTTAACCTAAGTGTATTTTTGGAAAATGACCTTTTTCATTGTTGGCATTCAAATAAAATGTAAAAAGTACCAACGTATACTGCTGCATTTGCCACTCTGTGTGAAGGAGGATGATTTGCGAAGGAGCTTAAGGGTAGCTGCATTTAAACCTTCCACTTACTCCTTAAATCCAAGGGTATTTGTCCAAATGCATTTTAAACTCTCATTCTAAAATTAAATATATTTCTAAATACTAGCACACATTTTGAAAATGACATTTTAAGAAAAAATAATACCACTTATAATAACAAACGAAGAGTTGGGTAAATGGTACCTGAGACTTTCTCTTTACTTTGGGGGCATATTTGAAAATTTCCATGATAAAATATCTTTTAAAAAATGAAGTTACTAAGAATAACTCTAGGAAAATGTATGGGGGACCGGGTGCCATGGCTCACACCTGTAATCCTAGCACTTTGGGAGGCCGAGGTGGGTGGATCACCTGAGGTCGAGTTCCAGACCAGCCTGGCCAACATGGTGAAACCCCGTCTCTACTAAAAAAAAAAAAAAAAAAAAAAAAAAAAAGGCCAGGCATGGTGGCACACGCCTGTAATTCCAGCTACTCGGGAAGCTGAGGCAGGAGAATCGCTTGAACCTAGAAAGCAGAGGTTGCAGTGAGCCAAGATCACACCACTTCACTCCAGCCTGGGCGAAAGAGTGAAACTCCATCTCAAAAAAAAAGAAAAAGAAAATGTATGGGAGAGGACCCTTACTAAGCCATATTTACTAAGATTTAATTTGCATATGGTAAAGTCTATTCCCTTTTAGGTATGTATGTACTATTCTGTGAATTTGGACAAACACAGTCATGTAGCCATCTTCACAGTCAACACAGAATGTTTCCATGGAGTCCTAGGCGGGTGGATTGCTTGAGCTCAGGAGTTTGAGACTAGCCTGGGCAACACAGCAAAACCAGATCTCTACAAAAACAAAACAAAAATTTTCAAAGAATAAATACTCTTAATTGGGAAGATTGAAACTTTTAAAAAAAAAAAGGCCGGGCGGCAGTGGCTCACGCCTGTAATCCTAGCACTTTGGGAGGCCAAGGCGGGCAGATCACGAGGTTAGGAGATCAAGACCATCCTGGCTAACACGGTAAAACCTTGTCTCTACTAAAAATACAAAAAATTCGCCAGTCGTGGTGGCGGGCACCTGTTGTCCCAGCTACTTGGGAGGCTGAGGCAGGAGAATGACGTGAACCCGGGAGGGAGAGCTTGCAGTGAGCCGAGGTCACCCCATTGCACTCCAGCCTGGGCGACAGAGCGAGACTCCGTCTCAGTCAATCAATCAGTAATAAAAAAATAATATTTGAGTGGAATAGAAACCTTTCATATCAATCACTGTTGTTTTCCAAACTGATGTAACCTCAAGGTGGCGCAGTGGCACCAAATTTTGTCCTACCTAATTTTGTGAACTCAGACCAAAACTCCAGGATTTATTTGTATTTAAGATAAGAAAGGCTAGTTCAGAGTCCTGTTTACAACAGGCACTTATGAAATACTTGCTCACTGGTGTTACAGGTTGAGCATCCTTTATCCAAAATGCTTAGGAACAGTAACACTTTGGATTTTGGGGTTTTGCATATGCATAATGAGTTGTCTTAGGGCTAGGACTCAGGTTTAAACATGAAATTTGAACTTAATTTATGTTTCATTACACCTTATACACATAGCCTGAAGGCAATTCTATACTTTTATTTTTTTGAAACAGGGTCTTGTTCTGTCACCGAAGTTGGATTGCAGCCTCAAATTCCTGGGCTGAAAGGATTCTACCTCTTCAGCCTCCCAAGTAGCTGGAACTGTAGGCATATGCCACCACGTCTGGCTAACATTTTACTTTTTTAGAGACAGGGTGTTGCTTTGTTGCCCAGGCTGTTATACAATATTTTAAATAATTTTGTACATGAAACAAAGTTTTGACTGTGACCCCATCACATGAGTATGTCATGTTAGCACTCAGATAGTTTCAGATTTTGGATTTTGGATGTTCAAGGATGCTCAATCTATAATCCATTTACAAGAAAGGACAAATATCTACAGGGTTGGGATAGGGGAGGACACTGAATTGAAAATGTTCTCGTAGAATTTAAAATAGCAAATATGTACAGTCTTGAACCAACTCCATGGAGATAAGTGATAGTTACCAGATCTGTTGTTCCTCACATACTCCTCCAGGGTATGGAAAGTTTAACCAATGATTTCATGTGTTCAGGTTACAGATCAGGTAACCTTTTCCCAGATTGTAAGTGAAGAAGGACATTGTTAGGGCCTTCACAAACTTAAAAGATCACAGAATTAATTTTTTTTTAAGGAGTTTGTGTTTTTTTGGTAACAAAGGAGTGGTAGTAAATTAGCTCTTGCTTTTAAGGATTCACTTAAGTGGGCTTTTTTTTTTTTTTTTTTTCCAACTTTGACTTTTTAAAAAATGTCAATAGCTTTTGGCGTATAAGTGGTTTTTGGTTACATGGGTGAATTCTATATTGGTGAATTCTGAGATTTGAGTGCACCCCTCACCAGAGCAGTGTACACTGTATCCAGTATGTAGTCTTTTATCCCACACCATTCTTTCCCCACTCAGTTCGCAAAGTCCATTATATCACTCTGTATGTCTTTGTATCCTCATAGCTTAGCTCCCACTTATAAGTGAGAACATACCCCATTTGATTTTCCATTCCTGAGTTACTGTACTCAGAATAGTGGCCCCCAGCTAGTTTTTTATAGGTTTTGTTTTTGTTTTTGTTTTTTTTGAGACAGCATTTCATTCTTGCCGCCTAGGCTGGAGTGCAATGGCACGATCTCGGCTCATTGCAACCTCCGCCTCCCTGGCTTAAGCAGTTCTCCTCCCTCAGCTTCCTGAGTAGCTGGGATTATAGGCATCTGCCACCACACTTGGCTATTTTAAATCCAAGACAGAGGAATGCAATGGCACAGTCATGGCTTACTGCAGCCGTGACCTTCTGGGCTCAAGAGATCTTCTTGCCTTTAGCCTCCCAAGTGGTTGGGACTATCGACACACATCACTCTGTCTGGCTGACTTTGTTTTTTTGTTGGTTTGTTTGTTCATTTGTTTTTGATAGAGACAGGGTTTTGTCCATGTTGCCCAGGCTTAATTTTTTTATTTTTTGTAGAGAGAGTCTTACTGTGTTTCCTAGGCTGGTCTTGAACTCCTGGACTCAAGCAGTTCTCCCACTGTGGCCTCCCAAAGTGCTGGGATTATAGGCGTGAGCCACCACACCGGCTGATTTAGTACTCATTAAATATGAACCATCACGGAGGGGTGTGAGATGGGTAAAACTAGGGACTAAAAGAAAATCTGTTTCCGAGATTTAAGTTTATTTTCCAGTTTTTTTAGGAACCCTTAATTTCTCACCCCTCTACCACAAACAGATCTATAGGGAGTATTTGGAGAGAAAGTTTTGTCAAAAGTCCAAAGCTTGATTCAGTGGCAAAAGCAGGTAGGTAAGTTACCAAACCAGGAGGCTCTCTGGATAGTAATTTCACATAGGGCTCTGCCAGACGGTTACCACATTACGAGGACACTTGGTACAAATGAGAACTTCCAAGCCCCCATCCAGAAGCAGGGTAACAGTATGAGAGGATGTGGTGTTCCCATCTGTCCACCAGGCCCTAGGAACTCTTTCCCCAAAGTAACTGGTGCTAATGGTTGGTTGTGTGTCCTTCCAGAGATATTTGATATTTAATGTCTATAAATCTTGATTTAAAAGGACTCTTCTGTACCCTTTAAAATGATACATTTTAAAGATCATTTGTGTCAGTACTAATTGGACCCATTTTGTGTATAGAGATGGATATTTTAGGACACTCCTGTGTTTACAGCTCCTTTTTCATAAGGCACTTCATCATTGCAGCAGCTGCTTTTGGGTATCTTCCCTTGCCTCTCATGAGGAGATTCGTCTGTGATTGTCTGAGTTGATTTTTTGTGTTTTTTAAAAGTGTTTGGAGTTAAGAACAGGTATGTGAATCACACAGATCATAGTGCCATTCTAAGCTACACCAGCTTATTAGCTATGAGAATGTAGGCAGCAACTCGATGTTTCTGAGCCTCAGCATCCTTATCTGTAAGATGGGAAGAGTGCTTCACAGTCTTTGGTACTTAGTGAATGCGAGTTGTCTCATTCTTTCTCCTTCATGGAAGTGTATCATTTTAGTTTGGGTGCCTATAAGGAAAGCATTTTAGGGACTATATGATTTATGCCAGTTGAGTCTACCCACTTCTACAAATCTGTCTGTCTCTCTTTTTCTTTTGATAAGAATGAAGCCAAGAAAAATTAAAGAAGATGATGCTCCAAGAACAATAGCTTGCCCTCATAAAGTAAGTAATGCTAGGGGGAGAGTGTTCATTAAACTGTTGATGAAGTTTTAGAGAGTTTATAAGAAATTTGCACTTTTGTTTCTGCTTTTGGTAATTTAAATGAAGCAAGGAATTAGAATCTTTGGTTTCTAAATCCAAGAGATGAAGTTTTGTTATTTAGTAAAGGCCACTTAAATTTAAATACTGTTAAATGGGATGACTGCAGGGAGCTGATGCTTGATTACTGTGTTGACTCTACTGTTAGCGTTTCATTTCTTTTTGGATTATATTAACAAGCCAGTCTTAAGATCCTGGGTTGTGTCTCACCCATTGACCTTTATGGGAATGTAGGCTTGTAACTGAAATTTGGAAATTATTTTGGATGTTGCTAAATTAAGCCAAATAAAGACTTAATAATAATTTTGTGTTACTAGAGAGGCACTTAATTGTTTTCAAATGTAGTTAGTCTTTAAAATAAAAGGATAACCTGAAAAGTACTTTTGAGGTATTTGTTGGGAGCTGTTTTCAAACTTAATTGGATATAAGACTAACAGAAAAATCAAGTATCACATAGGTACAGAGAACAAAGTAGGAGAGATTGAGTGGAATAAAGAATGTAAAAATGAACAATTGGAGCAGCCTACATTAGTCTCACGGTCTCATCCCTGTAATGACTGTGACCAGCAAGTCCCTCCTGTTGTTTGTCAGTGTTCTTCATGTGGCGATTTGCAACGTAAACCCATCTCCATCAGGGCCAAAATAACAAGCATTTGAAAACAGTTAGGCCAGAAGTGCCTGCCATCCCTTTAGCTTCTCTGTATACTTCTTAAAGTTTTCTTTATAATGGACACAATACTTGTACATATTTATGGGGTACCATGTGATGTTTCAATGCATGTATACATTGTGTACCAGTTAAATTTTTTAAATTTCCATTTTCTAAATGGAAATTCAACCTCTAAGGGTCAAGGCAGAAAAACTGTGGCTTCCCTCTCCCTTCTGCCTGTGAGCTGTCTAGTGACTTGTGCTGTCCTTCTGTCATGCTGTCTTACCATTTCCCCATTCACTCCATTACTGGGCAACAACTGCAGAAGAAATTGTTAAGGACATGCTTCTCGAGCGCCACACATCCATCTGCCTTTCCCGCCTTGCACTGGTATCAGTTTGCCTGCTTCTTCCTTTTCCTAGTGTCTCACAAAATAAATTTCTTCTGTAGTTGCCATTCCTTGGAGACCCTCTTGCTTCTTTCTCTGTCAAGAAGGGGAAAGAGGCAAAGAGAGAAGAGGGAACAGTAGGCGATGGAGAATGACAGTCCATTGTTGCAGCACAGACTATGGGGCCACCAAAGGTAGTGGTGGACTACCGTCATTTTAACTCCATTTGCTTAGCAGTGCTTTTGTTACTTCATTTTGGGGGACATAGTCGGGTGAGGCGGCTGTGGTATAGCTGGAAGCCAGGGTGTTGGGTTCTATTCCCAGTTTGGCTACTACTAGTAGTGTGACCTTGGGCAAGTCTACTTAAAGACATCTCTAAGCCTCAGTTTCCTCATCTGTAAAACTAGGGTTTGCATTAAATGATGACTTTTTCAGCTGTCTGTTTTTTGTCTTAAATGATATTAATGTTCTACCGTAATACTAAGTAAAATTAAAATGGGAGGTTGGGGAGGTGGTTTTGTTTTAGTATGTCAGTAAAGGCTGTTAAATGGTTGAATCCTTTCTAACAGTTTGCAATGTGAACCTCTAAGCTGCTTTCTCTGTTTTAAGGGCTGCACAAAGATGTTCAGGGATAACTCGGCCATGAGAAAACATCTGCACACCCACGGTCCCAGAGTCCACGTCTGTGCAGAGTGTGGCAAAGCTTTTGTTGAGAGTTCAAAACTAAAACGACACCAACTGGTTCATACTGGAGAGAAGCCCTTTCAGGTAGAGCCAGTTCCCTCTCTTCCCCACACTGCCTTGCCTGTCTGAACACTGCAAGTGTAGGGTGGTGTGGTGATGAGGCAGGAGGTGCCAGCCCAGAGACTCGGGGTCTTATTACTCCTTAGTGAGAAACAAAACTCCTGGGGAGTCTCTTGGAAGGGTTGCCGGGGATCTGGACTTCCTTGTCTATAACCTCTGTGGTGCTGGGTACGGAATGTATTGGTGTTGATGGAGTACACTTTATGGCAGGAGGAGAACAGGATTGATCAGGACCATACCTAAGACTCAATTTCTACTTCATTCATTACAGGATTGAAGTAATTTATTTTTGGTAGTTAATAGTATAATTACTAATTGATAAAGTTTCTAAAATTTTGTTGTATGAGTGTAAGTATAGGTAATATTTTGTCTTGTTTTTAGCCCATAAATAAGTGAAAGAACTAGCAGTGCAGTTAGTAAATCTAACACGGTTCTTTTTTGACAACTGACACCAGAACCCTTAATCATTTGTATTTTACTGTTGCAAGTGTTTACAGCAGCACTAGCACTCTAGCCTGCATTTAGGAAGACTTGCCATTTTGCCAAGTGTTTTAAACAGTTCATGAGGGCTATCCTTGGGTTTTCGGGGTTGTCCAACCTGCCTGCTGATTCTAGAATATATCTACAAAGTTCACCCCGGGCAGGAATGAAAAGTGTTTGGTAAAATACATAGGCTGTTCTCTAGCAAAGCAGTGAGCTACTGACTCCCAGGGTCTGGTCAGAGTTGCTGAGTGGGTTGATCTCTGGTCTTTCCTCGACAGTGCACGTTCGAAGGCTGTGGGAAACGCTTTTCACTGGACTTCAATTTGCGCACACATGTGCGAATCCATACCGGAGACAGGCCCTATGTGTGCCCCTTCGATGGTTGTAATAAGAAGTTTGCTCAGTCAACTAACCTGAAATCTCACATCTTAACACATGCTAAGGCCAAAAACAACCAGTGAAAAGAAGAGAGAAGACCCTTCTCGACCACGGGAAGCATCTTCCAGAAGTGTGATTGGGAATAAATATGCCTCTCCTTTGTATATTATTTCTAGGAAGAATTTTAAAAATGAATCCTACACACCTAAGGGACATGTTTTGATAAAGTAGTAAAAATTAAAAAAAAAAAAAACTTTACTAAGATGACATTGCTAAGATGCTCTATCTTGCTCTGTAATCTCGTTTCAAAAACACAGTGTTTTTGTAAAGTGTGGTCCCAACAGGAGGACAATTCATGAACTTCGCATCAAAAGACAATTCTTTATACAACAGTGCTAAAAATGGGACTTCTTTTCACATTCTTATAAATATGAAGCTCACCTGTTGCTTACAATTTTTTTAATTTTGTATTTTCCAAGTGTGCATATTGTACACTTTTTTGGGGATATGCTTAGTAATGCTATGTGTGATTTTTCTGGAGGTTGATAACTTTGCTTGCAGTAGATTTTCTTTAAAAGAATGGGCAGTTACATGCATACTTCAAAAGTATTTTCCTGTAAAAAAAAAAAAAAGTTATATAGGTTTTGTTTGCTATCTTAATTTTGGTTGTATTCTTTGATGTTAACACATTTTGTATAATTGTATCGTATAGCTGTATTGAATCATGTAGTATCAAATATTAGATGTGATTTAATAGTGTTAATCAATTTAAACCCATTTTAGTCACTTTTTTTTTCCAAAAAATACTGCCAGATGCTGATGTTCAGTGTAATTTCTTTGCCTGTTCAGTTACAGAAAGTGGTGCTCAGTTGTAGAATGTATTGTACCTTTTAACACCTGATGTGTACATCCCATGTAACAGAAAGGGCAACAATAAAATAGCAATCCTAAAGCAAGAATATGGCAGAACAAGATCTGTAAGCACAGTCTTATTTTCTTTTGTTGTCCAGAATACTTATAATTCTTGAGCCTCCCAGAAATTGGAAGCTAAATAAAGCAACTCAAGTTTCCTTTATTTTGCACTCAATTACAGTGATTATTGATGAAAGCGATGCATGGATATTTTAATACTTCCTACATGTCCTGACATCCGAAGGAGAGTAGGTAACAGGCATCCCGAGTTCAGGAACTACCTCAGAACACCCCAGGCCAGGTTGGTCATAGGCTGTGATTTTAGCCCCCGGCAAGTGTGAGTGAAGCATCTACCACTGTGCAGCCTGAGCGCCTGCGCAAGGTAAGGTGCCACCTGGCAGTGGGGCACACAGAGGGAAGACCAGGCCTGTCCACCCTGCTGCCTTCAGAGGCAGCTCCAGCAGGGCCTTGGCTTGTCTGACAGGAAATGCTTGTGGTCACTGGTTATTTGGTTTGAGAGCCCTTGTTCCTCCATCTAGTGGAGTCCTTATTAAATACTAGCAATGTGGCAATTGAGTACCAGTAGCGTAATTTCATGTTTCTAAATGGACACTGGGTGCAAATCAACAAGGTGATTAGATTATTAGAAAAATTGTGCTCAATGAGTACCTCTCACATTGTAACCTCTTAAATGTACAGTTACAATGTTGGATCTTACAGTCAAATAACAGACTTGAGAATATTTTATGAACTGCCATGATACAGCAAAATCTCATTTATTCAAAGTGCAAACATACTGTGTCTTTCTGTTTTGTGTGTGCTTGACTGCAAGATAAATGACAAACTAGCTAATATCCGAGATTTATTTACAAACGGCCAGGGACCCCATCAGGTGAAACACATAGCCCGATGTCTTAGAGCTTCTCCATCGGTCCCGTACAGGAGGGCTGGAGACCCAATAACAGTGACCCTGTGGCTCTGGAATTTTGAAGTGCCTTTTGTGAATCACGAATGAAACATTTAACTTGAGACCCGTTAAAAAATTATCCAGAATCTGTTAGCCCTTGGGTAGTTTGGAACTCAGCTAAGCAGAAGCCCCCAGCTGTGTTCTGGGGAAGCCAGGCTTTGCTGTATCTGGCAGTCAGGAGAGAGGTCAGCCCATGGTGGAGGTCTTCAGTGCCGAGGGCTCGGATGAGAACGTGTAGTTCTTTGACTTCGACCTGGGCAGGGGCTTCTATGGATGCCTGCTTTGTGAGCACCCACACCTTCCCTCCCCACTGTCGGGTTGAGTAGCCCCAGCATGGCTGTGTTAGGAGTCCTTTGCCCAGCATTGTGCTGCACTGGAGCCTGGCCCTGGCACTGTCCTCAGGACCTTGCCCAAGGGCCCACCGCAGAGCATACCTATGTTATGGGGAGCCCCACTGGCAGCCCCGAGAGCCATGCCATGGCCTGCAGAAGCCAGGCTCCTGTGTGGATGAAGTCCCTCTTCCTCTGTGCCTTGATCCCTTGGGGGTGCCTTTGGTCATCTCTTCCGTCCTTTCCTGTCTCTGAAATAGTCATCACTCCCCTTGACTCTCTGTGTTCACATGTCTTCTCAGTCTGCAGAGTTAACTTCTGTAAGGAGTTTAATCTGGGGTTCCAAGAAAACAAGTTCCTTGTTAACATAGCACTGACTTTGCAACAATAGGAAACTAACAAATGAGCAACAATATAAAGAGTAGAGGTAGTTCTCATTGGGTGTAACTTCAACCCATTCTGCTTGTGGTTAGAATTTATAACTTTGCTAACGATGTAATTTACTAAGGTTTGAAATGGTGTTCTAACAGCGAGTCCATTGTCTTGAGGATTAATCTGATTTATAAGTAATACTGATAGACATATTTTCGTACATCTGAGCAGAAATAAATGCATGTTTCTAGCATATGTAATATAAAAACTCCAGAGGATAAGTTTACACTTAACAAGATGTTGTTTTCTATTTTTGAATTTCTTATTATTTCCCCCTTTTTGGTAGTGGGGTTGAGAGGGGGAGCATACTATTTGTATAAAGAACTGTCACCCCAGAGTGACATTTATTTTCCAAGATGACCCTGAACTCATGCTATTGGTTACATATGGTGTTTGTGTGCTTTGCCTAGTTTCAAGGCCTGAGGACTTGAGGAAAATCGGGATTTTTTTATTTTTGGTTTTCATGTAAAAGTTCTAAATGTCACTTATTTTGCTAAATAAGACCCTTTCACAGGATAGTGTGCACAGTGCCTGTCCATGTTTCCAAGCAGAGTTCAAGTTCGTGTCTTCACAAGTAGATAAGAATCACTTCCAGTCGGGGGAAGCCTCCCTGGGTAGTGTTTGAGAGTTCGTACACTGGAGAACTGCCTCCCGTCCGTTTGCACTCTGCCTTGCAAAACTTACTATGGAGACGTGCTCCACATTGGTCTCAGACCAGAGTTCATGTTTGCGGCACAGGAAAACCTGACCTCCTAAAAGAAGTGTTTGAATTGGAAACCTGATAATTCTACCCACCTCCCACCCCGACTAGAGGCAGAGAGAGTTGATTGCTTCCAGGGTCTCTGACTTCTGTGACCTGGAAATCAGCCTGGCTTGGGATATTCATGTTGTTGATCTTTAATTCTTTAAGTTTCTTCTATTTTCTTGACATCGGACCCCCAGCAAGAGTAAGGATACCAGAGGTGAAAACTGGTGAGAGCCAGGCTGCTCACAGACACCTACTTGATGCCACAGCCATGCCATGAGGCTTCCTCCTAGCTGCTCTGCTGGCTTGCTGAAGCCAACTCTGAGTCACGGGGTTGCCTTGGACCCTCGGCTGTAGGGGGCAACTGTCTGGCTCCGGGCCCTTTGTCTTGGATCCGCTGACAGTAATGTGATCGCAGCACTTCTTCAGAGTTCAGGCCCAGCAGGTCCTGGCAAGTGCATTCTACTCGAACTTTTAACCCAAGTGGTGGGGAAGGAAGTCGAAACCCCAACCTGCACTTTCTTGGGGTTCTGGCCATGCACTTCTTAGCCTGCTCTCTGACTTTACAGGACAAAAGGTACCCTACGCCTTCTTCAGAATCATACTTACCTGCACGGCAGCATCTGACTGGATGGCTGGCTAGGTCTCATCCACCCCATATTACTGACCCTTGATTTATGTTGTTACTGCTCAGGTTATGCTCAGATGCCCTGGTTGCCTGAAGACGGTTTAAGTGCAGGCCCTTCAGACAAGTCACGTCAGGCAGGAGAGGGCTGGCCTCTCACCCACAAGAGGGCAGATTTGTGGCCAAGAGGCTTCCTGGCATCCACCCCAGGCCCGAGGGATCAGTGTGGTGCCAGAGAGGATCTTTAAGCTGGGACTGTATTGAGGGTTGGTGGGAAGTATGGGCAGCAGGTGCTTGACACATATCACCCAGTCCCCTTATAAAATCTGGAACGGAGCCTTTAAGTTGAGCGTTAGCATCAGGTCAGCAGGCAAAGCAAACCTCCCACAAACTGGGTGCTGTAAGGCGGGAGTTGACACATGGAGAGCTTGGTCCTGGCTGAGCAGGCACCCAGCCCCATGTTTCCCGCCAGCATTCTGGATGTCAGAGGAGACTGTGTATGATAGCGTCACATTCACCTGAAGCACACTGATTGATTTTCCACAGGTGTGGCAAGTGCGATCAAATTGACCACTTTTCATGAGACACCCAGATGCTGTAAAAAACTACCGGGATGTGTTGAGGGGGCAGTTTGCCATGCTCTGTTCTATCTGCTGCTATCTCTGGGGGCCGCATAATGTCCACACACATCACGGAGGGGAGAAAGGCATCAGTACCAAACGGAGTAACCTCTTTTTTCTACAATGTCCATACCCGACATGTGAGGCTCTATTATCCACAGGTGGTGAGAAAAATTCTGTTTTTATTCGCTTTCTGGTAACTTCTGTAGGCCCTGGCTCAAGGACTTAGCATTTCGTCTCATGTACATCTTTTTCTTAAGTGTTCTTTGCCATTTCTGGAATTGTCCTTGGTTTTTCCTTAGCTCATAGGTCATAGATGCAGAAATATAGTATTTAAGGCATCCGCATCCAGCATCAGATGGCTTTGCATCCAGAAAAACATTGATAACTCAGTTTGAAGCACCAAGCATGTGTAATATGGCTCTATAAAATATAATAAATGCATAATGTTAAGCTTTTTAATGCCTGTGGTTCTTATTTGTTCCTCAGTCCTCTAAGCTACTTCTTTAGTGTTTCATTGCACATGAAACCAGGCCATGAACCCCTCCTGGTCTAAGAGTTGCCTGAACTGCCTGGGGCAGTTCTTGTGGCTTGCTTTCTCACACAGGAATGGGAACTCCCAGGATTTGGTCTCACACCAGCAAGCAATGCTTCTGTAACCTTTCAGCTCCAAGGTGGGCTCAGGAGCCAGAGGGTGTTTTAAAGAGAGCCTCACCTACTGTTCAGAAAGCAGAGCCCAGTGAAATGCCCATGCAGCCAGACCTGTGAGCCCATGTCAGCCCTGGAAGCTCTGGAGCTAACAGGGATGAACTCTCAAGAACTTGACCAAATACACTGAGAGCTACTTAGGATTTAGCCAAAAGCAAAATGCAGAGCAGAGCTTCTTCCCCCCGGCTGGGGCCTTGGTGTCTGATGTTCTGCAGAGCAAGGTTCAGAGCGAGGCGTGAAGTTATTACTTGGATACATGTGACTCCCTTTTTGCTAGTGACAGAAGGGGCTGCTGACAGAATGCTGCTGAGGTGGCAAGTCACAGGCCTGTGCAAGCCCAGAACTGCTGAGTGAAGGCCCTAGGTAGGGCTGAGCTGAGCAAGAGCCTGGGTGGAAAATCTGTAGATTTTACATGGGAAGGAACTAAGGCTTTGAAATTGCTTTTTTTTTTTCCTCCCAGGCTGGAGCGCAGGGGCACGATCTCAGCTCACTGCAACTTCCGTCTCCCGGGTTCAAGCGATTCTCCTGCCTCAGCCTCCTTCCTGAGTAGCTGGGATTACAGGTGTACAGGTGTGTGCCACCTCGCCTGGCTAATTTTGTATTTTTAGTGGAGATGGGGGTTTCACAATGTTGGCCAGGATGGTCTCAAACTTCTGACCTCGTAATCCACCCGCCTCAGCCTCCCAAAGTGCTGGGATTACAGGCATGAGCCACCGCGCCCGGCCTGGAATTGCTTGCTTTTTTTTTTTTTTTTTTGAGACGGAGTCTCGCTCTGTCACCCAGGCTGGAGTGCAGTGGCCGGATCTCAGCTCACTGCAAGCTCCGCCTCCCGGGTTCACACCATTCTCCTGCCTCAGCCTCCCGAGTAGCTGGGACTACAGGCGCCTGCCACCTCGCCCGGCTAGGTTTTTGTATTTTTAGTAGAGACGGGGTTTCACTGTGTTAGCCAGGATGGTCTCGATCTCCTGACCTCGTGATCCGCCCGTCTCGGCCTCCCAAAGTGCTGGGATTACAGGCTTGAGCCACCGCGCCCGGCCGGAATTGCTTTCTTTAGAAACCCCTAGATAAAAATGAAACCAGCATCGCTCCTTTATACTTGCCAGTGTCTCTGCCTGGCTGTAATTTTTTGGTTTTTTTTTCTTGGTAAGAGACAGGGTCTTGCTATCATCTAGTCCTGAGTGCAGTGGCACAATCATAGCTCACTGCAGCCTTGAATTCCTGGGCTCCAGTAGTCCTCCTGCCTTGGCCTCCCAAGTAGCTGCGATTACAGTGAGCCACCATGCGCAGCCCGTAACATTTGTTGAGAATACAGATGGATCCAGTGCCCTCCTCCAAACCACCTGT